CGAACTTACGTTCGATGATGGCGCGAATAGAGGCGGGAGACCTTCGAAAATCAAGTCACAAGTCAAGTTTAATGTTCTCCTCACATCCTATGAGTTGATTTCTATCGATTCTACATGTTTAGGCTCTATAGAGTGGGCCGTTTTGGTGGTAGATGAAGCTCACAGACTCAAAAGCAATCAGTCCAAATTCTTCCGGCTTCTGGCCGGCTATCACATCAACTACAAACTTCTCCTGACCGGTACTCCTTTGCAAAACAACCTCGAGGAGTTGTTCCATCTTTTGAATTTCTTAAACAAAGATAAATTCAACGATCTCGCCGCTTTCCAAAATGAGTTTGCGGACGTTTCAAAAGAGGAGCAAGTCAAGAGGCTTCACGAAATGCTCGGGCCGCATATGCTGCGACGTTTGAAGGCCGACGTGCTTAAGAACATGCCCACGAAGTCAGAATTCATCGTACGTGTGGAGTTGTCGCCTATGCAGAAGAAATACTACAAGTATATTCTTACTAGAAACTACGAAGCTTTGAATCCCAAGAGCGGTGGTCAAACTGTGTCCTTACTTAATGTGATGATGGATTTAAAGAAATGTTGTAACCACCCGTACCTGTTCCCAGTGGCTGCGGAAGAGGCGCCGCTAGGTCCTCATGGAAATTACGAAACACAGGCTTTAGTTAAGGCGTCCGGAAAACTGGTTCTTATGTCTAAAATGTTGAAACAACTTAAGGAACAAGGACACAGAGTACTGATTTTCTCACAGATGACAAAAATGTTGGACATTTTGGAAGATTTCTTGGAAGGCGAAGGATATAAATATGAACGCATTGACGGTGGTATTACTGGAACGATTCGTCAAGAAGCTATCGATAGGTTTAACGCACCGGGAGCTCAGCAGTTTGTATTCCTTCTTTCGACGAGAGCCGGTGGTTTAGGTATTAACTTAGCCACGGCTGATACAGTTATTATTTACGATTCCGACTGGAATCCTCACAATGACATTCAGGCGTTCTCTCGTGCCCATCGTATAGGTCAAGCAAACAAAGTGATGATCTACCGCTTCGTCACACGTAACAGTGTAGAGGAAAGAGTAACACAAGTAGCTAAGAGAAAGATGATGTTGACTCACTTGGTTGTGCGTCCCGGCATGGGCGGCAAAGGCGCTAACTTTACTAAGCAAGAATTAGATGATATTCTAAGATTTGGTACAGAGGAATTGTTCAAAGAAGAAGAAGGTAAAGAAGAAGCTATTCATTACGATGATAGAGCTGTGGGCGAATTGCTCGATCGATCGAAGGAGGGTATCGAACAGAAGGAATCCTGGGCCAACGAGTACCTGAGTTCCTTCAAGGTGGCCAGCTACTCCACCAAAGAGGGCGACGGCGAAGAGGAAGTGGATACTGAAATTATTAAACAAGAAGCAGAAAATACTGACCCAGCTTACTGGATCAAATTACTTAGACATCATTATGAACAGCACCAAGAAGACCAAGCGCGAACCCTCGGTAAAGGCAAGCGAGTACGCAAACAAGTTAACTATAACGACGGTAGTGTTGCTCAAACTGAAAACAGAGAGGATTCCACATGGCAAGAAAATGGATCCGATTACAATTCTGACTTCTCACAAGGTAGTGAAGATGATAAAGAAGATGACGATTTCGATGAAAAGAATGATAACGGTGATCTTCTCAGTCGGCGCAGCAAGAGGAGGCTAGAGAGGCGCGAGGAGCGCGACAGGCCTCTTCCACCGTTACTTGCTCGAGTCGGCGGCAACATGGAGGTGCTCGGTTTTAACGCCAGACAGAGGAAGTCGTTCCTTAATGCTATCATGCGATACGGTATGCCACCACAGGATGCATTTAATTCTCAATGGCTAGTTCGAGACCTTAGAGGGAAATCTGAACGCAATTTCAAGGCTTATGTGTCACTGTTTATGCGACATTTATGTGAACCCGGTGCAGACAATGCCGAAACTTTCGCTGACGGAGTTCCCAGGGAAGGTTTGTCTCGGCAGCATGTTCTAACGCGAATCGGTGTGATGAGTCTTATCAGAAAGAAAGTTCAAGAGTTTGAACATATCAATGGATATTACAGTATGCCAGAATTGATACGTAAGCCAGTGGAGCCAGTTAAAATAGCCGGCACTGCCAATGAAAGTGCAGCTCCCAGCCCCGCGCCGTCTACAGCCACGCCAATAACATCAGCCGCACCATCGCCAGCACCCACACAAGTATCGCAGGCCACAGGACAAGCGCCCACTCCGGGAGGCTCAGAGAAAGACGACAAGGAGGAATCTAAAGATGAAAAGTCTGATTCAAAGGAGAGTAAAGTAAAAGACGAGCCAATGGACACAAGTGATGTCAAGGAAAATGATGAAGACCAAAAGAAGGACGAAAAGGAAACAGTCAAACAGGAAATAAAAGAGGAAAGGCGAATGTCTGTCGACGAGGAACTTCCCAAGGAAGATGAAAAATCAAATGATAAAAAGTCCGAAGAGGGCGATAAAGTCAAAGAGGAGAAGGAAGACTCCGACAAGAAAGAGGATGCGAAGAGCGACAAGACCGAGTCTGAGGCGTCGGAGAAGCCTAAGGACGAGAAGAAGGATGACGACGATGACGATGTGGTGTTAGTGAAGGAGGAGGACGACTTGAAAGTGGAGAGACGCAAGTTCATGTTCAATATAGCGGACGGCGGGTTCACGGAGCTGCACACGCTATGGCTGAACGAGGAGCGCGCGGCGGCGCCCGGCCGCGAGTACGAGATCTGGCATCGGCGGCACGACTACTGGCTGCTGGCCGGCATCGTCACACACGGCTACGGCCGCTGGCAGGACATACAGAACGACCTGCGCTTCGCCATTATCAACGAACCATTCAAAATGGACGTCGGCAAAGGCAACTTCCTCGAGATTAAGAACAAATTCCTTGCCAGGCGGTTTAAGGTTAGTTTTTAGTCCTTTAAAATTAGTTTTAATTTAATTATCGTAATGATATTAATAGTAACCAAATGTTTATAGTTGTTGGAGCAGGCGCTAGTGATCGAGGAGCAGCTGCGGCGTGCAGCGTACCTGAACCTGACTCAGGATCCCAACCACCCCGCGATGTCTCTGAATGCGCGTTTCGCGGAGGTGGAGTGCCTTGCCGAGTCGCACCAGCACCTCAGCAAGGAGTCCCTCGCCGGCAACAAGCCCGCCAACGCGGTGCTGCATAAGGTACCGACACATTCCGATTACTTTTATCACTTACGAGTTGGTCGGGTGCGGCTTGTCGCTTCAAATTATAAAAACTTCATGTTACTGTTCACTTTTTTAAATGATATTTTTTAATTGCAAATGTCATAATTTAAATGCACAAATGACAATATCCTTACCATGGCAACCTTGCTTCTTTGATGTAAGCTTGTAGTTTTTTTTTTTCAAATAATTTACTCCCTAAGTTAAAAAGCGTGAAAATGTATAGTCTAAAGCGTGTTTTGAGAGTAGGGTTTTATTATCAAAAAAAAAAAAACTCAAAAATGTACTATGATTGCTGGCGTTATACATCACTAAGATGTGTTTACGCTTTATTACATTAGTATAGATAAGAGTGTGGTTGTGTGCAGGTGCTGAACCAGCTGGAGGAGCTGCTGTCGGACATGAAGTCGGACGTGTCGCGGCTGCCGGCGACGCTGGCGCGCATCCCGCCCGTGGCGCAGCGGCTGCAGATGTCGGAGCGCTCCATCCTGTCGCGTCTCGCCGCCACCGCCGGCAACCCGCTGCCGCCAGGTACCGCACATCTTACAAGTATCGCCGTGTCTCTATGTTAATGTGGAATACTACTTACAAACAAATGTTCGATTAAAAAGTCATTAGTGAAAATGTACTATAGTTGTGAGCAAACTAAATTCTACTAAAATTAGTGAATTCTATAGATTTTAATCGCGTTTATACTTTTTTACATATTGGTTTAATTTTCTATTTATACTTTTCTTTTCTATCTATACTAATATTATAAAGAAAGATTTGTATTTTTTGAGTCAATTAAAAAGTTTTTTTCACTATAATAAAGCAATGTTATTAGTGAAAACAAGGGCTGTTTTTTGCGAACGAAGCCGCAAGCAATAACTAGTCTTTCTATAAAATAGTCCGTAAAACGTTAAATAAACGTTAATGATAAAATACTTAGAACAGTAGAAGGAATATATTGTGCGTGTTACAGCGGCGCAGATGGCGCAGTTCCCGGGCGGGTTCAGCGCGGGCGGCGCGCTGGCGGGCTTCGCGCCGGCCGCCGCCGCCGCAGCCAACTTCTCCAACTTCCGGCCGCAGTACTCCGTGCCCGGACAGCCCTCCTCCACATCCACATCTTCTAATGTAAACAACTCCCCTACATTTGTGCTCATTTAATATTGTTTTTTCATATCAACATTATGACGCTTTCTTTAAAACTATTAAATTCAATGATGGAATTTTGGAATTACCGTTTGCAACAATATTTTTATATGGAAAAAAATGCCCCAAACCAGAACTAAAAATTTTACGTTTTGTTCTGTGCTGGTGCAGGTTAAAAATGTATTTTTAGAAGTAAATATACTGTTTTTTCTTTTGCAGAAATCATAAGCCTTCGTGACCTACATTGTAACTCAACTTGACACGTCTACCAGGTAAGCAAGTTTAAATATTGAAATTACAAGATCCAGTTTGTATTAACTTTTTTTAATTGTTTCGTTTTTCTTTCAGTTGGCGGACGATGCAGTCGCGTAGATAATAAACGTTAGATTGTAAGCTTTCCAAGATTCCTGCTCCACCTTGGGTTTGAAGTGATAATTAGTAATTAGTGCAGTTAGTTAACAATGTCATATTAAACAGAATTCCCACAAATATTATTTATTTCATCCTGATCTGTATGAATCTTGTTTTATTGTTAAGTGATTGTCGATTATATGATTATTTTACTTTTTAATTTACCAAAAATGAAAATTGAATAAATCATATGATTAAGTGATTTGTTGTTTCTTTTATTAAAACAATCTGATTTTTCAAACAATTTTATTTCATCTTTACATGCACACATTTGATGTGAATTTCGTCTGACGAAACATACAAATATAGTCATCTCTTTCATTGTTACTGAAAAGACAAAACATGTTGACATGTTTCGTCAGTCGAAACTCACGCTAACAATCACCACGAATACGTTTCATCTTCCGCATTATATCTGACGCTATCAAGTGACTTCACCAGATCGGGATCTGAGGAACAGAATAACTGCAGCATGTCCTTGCTGATGCCGCAGTCTGATAAGTTTTCATTATTAAACGCTTTAGTGAAATGATTCGGTTCATTGTCCTTTGAAGATTCCTCTGAAATTAAATTAAAAGAAATGAAAATTCATTTTTTACAGAAAATATAGTGTCAGTGATATTATGTGAATCGTGTCGAGTACTTCGTCAATATTCGCCATTAAACTGTAATTCGATAACTTTCAACTGCTATCTTGTAGAGTCGCTTATATGTACATACCATTTTTTGTTTTACGACGCCGAAGGTATGTTGCAGTACTGTGCGGTACTATGCGGTGTTGCAAGTAGTGTTGTGCATTGTGTGCGATATTGCAGAGTATTGTTGTGCGCCGTGTGCAATGTTACAGAATAGTGTTTTGCGATGTTGCAGAGTGGTGTTGTGCGCCGTGTGCGATGTTGCAGAGTAGAGTTGTGCGATGTTGCAGAGTGGTGTTATGCGCCGTGTGCGATGTTACAGAGTAATGTTGTGCACTGTGTGCGATGTTGCAGTGCAGTGTAGTGTAGTGTACCTTGTGCGATGTCTCCGGCGGCCCAGGAGAAGGCGAGCGTGGGCGCGAGGTGCGCGAAGGTGGCGCTGTAGCTGGCGGCGGCGCTGGCCCGCAGCGCGCCGCACAGCGCCGGCACAGCGCTCGGTAGGATGGGGCCGCGTAATTCGATTGAATAGTACTTTTTGCCCTCCACTTGCACCGTATTCTCACGAAACTGCAATGTTAACTGTGTTATAGTATTTAAAAGTCTAATACAGTAACAGACATAGGCAAGCGCCAAGGTTCAGGTGAAGATGTCGACACTACAGCGAAGTGTAAGAAATTAACAAAACTGACCCTACTACCATATGGAGATACAAGCTGGGAAATGGGAGAATGAGAGAGAGAGCGCTGTCGAATTGACTACAAAGTGGTCTACTATGGAATAAATTGCATGACATTGACGTCTGATGTAAAATGCTTATCAATTTTATAGTTAACTAATAGAACAGAAGTACAAAATGTCATCGATATAAAGCGGTTTGTATAATATTGACCTTGAGCGAGTTGAGCGCGCCGCCGTGGAAGGCGGTGGGCGCCAGCAGCGTGGGCGGCACGCCGGCCAGCGCGCCAGTGTCGCTGGCCAGCGAGCGGCAGTTCAGCAGGAAGTTGAAGAGCGCCTGCGCCTCCGCGCCGCGCACCAGCACCAGCGACTGCGCCGCGCTGTCCACGCTGCTCTCCGCGCACGCTCGCACGCGCGCCTGCACACGGACATATCACATTTTATATAAAAAGAGCAAATTAATTTAGACTTTATCTGCATGTACACATAATTTATTTCATTTAGCTATAATCGTTAACTCTTCAATTTCACGCGCTTCTCGTAATATCACTTTCTTTTTCCACATAAAAAGACAAAATTCTTAGTGGCCAGTATGTTACCTCTTTGGCAGAGTGAAAACTCCTTATCTACCAAACAGAGCGGATACCTCCGTTACTCAACAAAAAGTCTTCGCCCAAATGTAAAAAGTCCTCTATCAATGCAAATTAGGTACCTGAGCATTATTTATCTTCCTAAGGTCCTCGGTCTCGAGGCCCAGCTGTGACAAGAACTGGTCGGGGTCCTCATCCCCCGAGCTGGCGTCGTGGTGCGGCTGGCCCTCCATCGTGTCGTAGCAGCTGTCAGTAGACGAGTTCTTCGGACGCTCCTCTGCAGATGTGTTTAGTCTTTTTTTGTCTTGCCGTAGCGGCATCGTGAACTCCACATCTAGAAGCAAATTGAAAAGAAATATCAGAACTATTTTTAAACATATGTTTTTGGAAGAAATAAGACAATTACATTTCCAAACTGATTTGTGAAATCAAATTTTCTTAATAATTAGCAATGTGAGAATGAATTACTTCCTTCAGTTAGTTTGCTAAGGTGTTATTAACCCAACAATATATTAGAAAATGCCCTGGGCCCAGTATGGCTGACTATGACTGTACCCTAATTTACAGTAGGCTCCGAGTCCCTCAGAAGGTACATATAGTTACACGTAATTATGAAAAAGATTTCAATATTTAGCATACCCTCCTGCCGCAACGTCTGTCGGAAGCCGCGCGTGGTGGGCGCAATGAGCGCGCAGGGCTCCGACAGGCCGCACACGCCGGCCGCGCGGAACACACACGTGAAGGTGTTTGCGCACACGTAGAAGTACGGACAGTGCAGCGCCCGCACCAGCTGACAATAAACTTTTAAATATTAACTTTTTTTATTACCTAGGAAACATAATTTTGAAGAATTTATCAGTGTTTTTGAGCCAGTTTTATCGGAGATGCCATAAATTGAAAAAGAATCACAAAGTTAAGATAGTCTAATTTCATATTAGACTAGCTACTGCTTGCAACTTATCGGCACCAAAAAATAAACTAAAACATGTGATAATGTAGCTTTTTAATCATAAAGAAATTTTAGCAATCAGCCCAGTGATTTTTGGGTTTATTTATTACATATTTTTTAAATAAAAATTATATGACAAATATAGTCAGATGAAGTCAACAATCAATTTAACCTGGAATAAAGAACGAAAGCTCTCCGTCCAGTCTCTATGCAGTGCTTCCCGCTGTGCGGTGGTGAGAGCGAGCGCGGGCGCTGCAGCATGGCGTGGTGCGCGGGGGAACAGCTGCAGCCAGGGCAGCTGCGGGTGTTGCCAGTACAGACAGCACTGGTGGAACCGCGCTCGCGGTGACGTGTCCAGTGTTAATGATGAGGTGTCCAGGCAACGGACAAAACTGGCAAAGAAATACATTTTAATTACTCTTTTGAATAGTATAACATACTAGCAATAACCTTAACATATAATAAACATTGATGGGATGACAAAAATTAGTTTACTTCTTACCTTTGTAATTTGTCAAGTCCTTAGCAGCATGCATTGAATTTATTATTTTATTGCCTGCATTATATTATAATAACAAGATTCAAAATGGTAAATAGTAGCTAGGATATTACAAAACTTATCTATACTAATATTATAAAGAGGAAAGATGTATATTTTTGGATATCTGTATGTAGTGAGATAACTCAAAAACTACTGGCCCAATTTCAGAAATTCTTACAAAGTAATATAGGCATTTACTACTTTTTTCATTTTACATGGACAAAGTCAAAAGAAACATCTATTTTTAAATAATTTGTATACCCAGTGATTCCTGAAGCTTCTTCACTTGCTTTTAACTTTGCTGTCCATGCGAATGGCTTGGCTGACATCAACCTTAACTTTGTCCTCAGAGCCCAGTCTATTGGTAAGTGTTTATGCTTCTCTTCAACTATTTTCTAGAATAAGAAAAAACAAATGTTTAATCTATGATTTTACAAAATTTTCTAAAATAACATGTATAATATAGACAGGTGAAAGGCTATTTTTTTGAAGTGCCATTTTAGGCCATAATGACTTACATGTAATATATCCAGAATAGTTGAATTTTCTGTGTCATTAATAAACAATGAAATATGCAAAATTATAGTAACTTTAATCTGAAACCCGTCTGAAAATCTTTCAATTTAAATTATTGTTAGAATAAGTTTTTATGCTTTTCACCCATTGATATAATAACAAATTTTAGATATTAAATTACTTACTGTTTCCACAGTGTGGTCAGCTGTGTATTTTTGTAATAGATTAGAAAATGTAGAAAGCTTTTCAGTGTCAACTTTTGCTGGCGGCTTTTCTATTACATTTGTTGGTAACTTAAGGAGAGCAAACAGAGTGTTGTCACTGGATTCTTCTAATTGAGTCTCGGAATCTACCTTTTGTTTTTTATTTGATTCTGTACTGCATCTATAAAATTAAGGCATGTATCTCTTTGGTATGTTCTTTATAATATTTATTTCTTATTTTTAAAGTAATTATCACAATACAAACACTACAAACATTATAATTATCAAATTTGAGTAAAGACAAGAAGAATTCAAATCCACTTACTTTGAAAATGGGTTTTTTCTTTTATCACCATTGATAATTCTTGAAAAATCTAAAGTTGTTGTAATTGGGGCAGGAGTTTCTTCACTCGATGGTCTGGAAGGTTGTTTCATTCGTTCCTGTATAAAATTAAGTTTGTTTTAGTCAAGAAATGGTATAAGCAAAATATCTGCCTAAATTGAGAGTTTACTTATAAGGTGCAAGTGAAGTTACCTGTAAAGCTTTCTTCTTTCGTTTCAGCTTGTGAAGTTGCATTACTTGGTTTGGCGTCTTCCATGGTGATGTTGGTTCCATTTTATTGTTTACGTGAATAAACAGCTGCTTATTGTTAACATACTTTGTTCTAACGATTTTCAATCATTGTAAAAAGGAAAAACCGATTGTAAACAATACATTACTTGATATAAAATTCTTATCAACTTTTCAAAATCAAAATTAAATAACGCTGTCATAAAGACAGCAGCTGCATCTTAGTGACGTTCGTATGAATATATATTATCGATTATATCGATAATTCTATCGACTTTACGATAAAATATCCGACAAAAAATAATTAATCGACATCCATATTAGATCCAATATTAAAAAAGCAATGTCTAAGATTATTTAAGAATAGTTGTGTTTTAATTTTTTCTATTAATTAAAAAAAAGACTCTAAAATTAAGAAGTTAAACAAATTCTGATAGATTTTAAATAAGCATAAAGTATATTTAAATATTTATAAGTATATTTAAATAATAAGAAATTTTATATCCTCATTATCTGCAAGGGTTCTATGATTGTCACAAAACTCTCTAACAATGGCATCATAACGTTTGTATTTATTTAAATAAAAATATTACAACTGTAACAAGTAACGCATATGAAAAAAAAAGAGCTTTGTATGCACCTTTATGAGACGTAGTACATTACGTTTACGTAGATTACATAGTACTACGTAGCTTGTAAACGTTAAAACGTACGTAAACTAGAAGTGGAGGTCTCGTAAGTAGTGTTTGCATGACAGAGAGACATAAGATCACTCATAAATATGTTACGCGTTCATGTCGTTTGAAATAACTAGAAAATATTTATGTAAGCGTTTATTTTTAAAGTCTTTTACTGGCATTTTAAAAAACTAATATGGTTTTTGCTAATATGTAAATTACGGTACTAATTTGTATCAGTTTTTAAATTCAAAAGTAGCTTTTAAAGATAGACAAAAGGATATTGGTATATTAAGGACACCTGAAACTGACGACCAAGTATATGAATGTCAATGAGGCGAAAGCTGTATCTGGACCGATTCAAACGTGAATCCGTACTTTCTGCCTACCCTTCTAGGTTACAGCTGTGAATTATAACGATAGTCTATACGGTTTAGTAAACAAGGATTCTTGTCATCGAACGTCAGCATTTCCTCATCTATCATAGCATAATATATCGTAATTGAGTGACTTCCATATCAATTACCGGAAGGAGAAATTAAATTAAGTACTCAGTGTGTGACCGATATCTGCGAAATATCCCTCGGATCAGTGTAGGATATTAAAATTAACCAACGTACCTAACATTCGATATCGGCAGTGCAATGGTTTTCTTTTGTGTTGAATGGCCAATGTTTGCCTTGAAGAGGCATTTACAGATTCACCGGGCTTGAGCTGGCCGAGCGCAGATGGCGCTTAGCCTAAACTTCGTATGAGTAACTAAGCTCGAGGGCTCCCTCAGGAGCCTCGGCACGTGCCGTTACTTTGTTATTATTACCAGATTGGGAGGCCACCGAGCTCTTAGGCAGTTTCCTGGTGTAGTATCCAAAACATCTGTACATAAGATGTGTTAATCAAAGCGATTCCGTAAGCAAAACGCAAAGATTACATTTGCAGAAAAGTTATGTATAGTTTCAGTTACAGGCACAAAAAGTACAGTCACATTTACGGCACGCGATGCGTTGACCTATCAAATCTCGGCATACTCCCGCTCAGCTCAGTTACCTACCAGTTGCCAGTTGCCGCGACAGACTACACTCGCTCGCAAGTCGCGCTGACTACGATGTCTCGTGCCATTCGAATGCCATAAAAAGTCATGAATACGATGTCTTTCCCGTAAATAATTAATTATAATTTAATTTGACATGTAAAAGTTTAATTAGTAATTTCATTAAATAAATTAATTTAATGAATTGAAAAAAATATGATAAGATTTGTAAGTGACTGTTTCGCATTTATAAAACGGCGCGTGTTTTTGGTAAGTTTTTTTGAATAAGTTTTTTTTTTATTTTGCAATACAAAAAAATATTTTATGAAAATACAGGTATGGGATTAGCTAACATAAGGTCATATTTAAAAAGCAAACTTGAAATGTTTTAAGTAAACTTCCAAGAATCAAATGATGTCAACTCTACATTTTCGTAGAAATTGTTTAGCTATTAATCCATTGCCTAATTATTTAGCTATAAATTTTAACGGGCCAGGAGTAAGGCAGTATTGTATATGACACATATCACAAAACACGCAGAGATTGCAGATTTCGAGGTCTGCGAGTCAGTTATGTGTGTTCGTGATTCATAGTTTTGTTGCATTCTGGTTTATAAGAAAACATGCAGGTTTGAATTCCCTTCGGGTTAAAGTTCCGAGGAATGCTAATTACTGCTGTATTCTTTGTGCTCATAAATAATCGAAGTTGCAAGGAGTTGCGAAATTTAACCCATTTACGAGGCGCAACTGAACTACTTAGTTGAAAATTTATGGATTTTGTGAAAATGTTATTATACAGGAAATTGTGGAATAATTTATATTACGTTGCAGATTAAAACTGCTTTTTAGTTATTTTTCAATCAACTTCCTAAGGGACAAGTTCTTTATTAGTTTTTGTTTCTCTAATAGTAAAAAAAAAACTTCACTTGAGATTCTTGCGTTGATAAAATTCCTAGCATTTCTTCACGATTTGCTTTAAGCTTGCTAAATGTTTACTCCATAACTAGAAAGTTTTCATAATATTAAAAAAAAGGATAGGAGTTAGCCTACATTTTCCATGTTAATGGAAAATGTAGGCTAGGAAAAGTTACTTTCATTTCCTTCACTATAATTTCAGATGACGAACAAAACGAAAAATATATTTTCTTAAAACGCTACAATTTCTCTAAGCGGAATATTAAACAAAAACATTTTAATTTCACTACTTACGGAAATAAAATTGTAAAAACTACCACCTTTCATATAAAAATAATAAATTGCTCAGATGCATAAAATATCGCACGGAGTTAAGTTTTTATTCACTGAGCAACTGTTACTGGAGACAAGTGTCGCGTCTAATTAAAAGTGTGGTAAAACTTTTTTGGATCTTACAAAACTAGCTTCTGAAAGTCTCACCATAGGACTCTTCATTTTTTGGTTTACGGTCCTTAAATTGAAGCAGACGCCTTGCACTTATTTACTTCTTCATTTGTGTATGACTGATTTTTTTAACAAAAAAAGAATACTGGTTTCAAGACAATATTTAGTCAATCTAACTATAAATATTTTTAAAATAGGGGAATGTTATTTATTGTCTGTTGTCTGGAATAGTTCTGATATGCAAATCGCCCGTGCGTGACATAAGTGCGTCTGTATCACTCATAAAACCTCTTAACAGTTTTGTATCATTGAAGTGACATTACTCCCTCATCGCTTCGCGTCTAGCACGAGAGCCTCTCCACACTCTCACACCCGGTAACGGATTACAAATTGGCGCTACGACGAAATGCGAAGCGGCAAACTCATCTGCATTTCCTGTACAACGATCATTTGAATAACGCTGGTTTGGCTTATTTTGATGTATTTGCATACTGTTCAGTAAAAAAATAATCAAGCAGGTCTATACCTTCTAGTTTGGAGACCCGGTATCATTTTTTTAGATTTTTAATCATCAGAAATTCGTAATATTTAAGTTCGATTCCTGAATTTCTACTTAATTTTTTTCATCTGTAGTTCCTCTGGTATTGCGGATGTCCATTGGCATCGTTGACCACCCTTGTGTTCCTGCCGCTCGTTTGCCCCCTTCTCATATAAAAAAACCTTTAGTTTGAAATAAATCTTAAATATCGAAAGAAAAGAAAATAAAACATCGGCGCAACGCTATATTATTGCCCACACTTCCGTCTATATGACATCTGTCAATGTCATTCAGAATTAAGAATAAGCTACTCTGGCGGGAATGAGTAGTGTAAGTGTAGAAGTTAATTACGTTGTTACTATTAATGTCTAAAAATACTATAATTTAACCTGCATTGTAATTACCATCGCTAGATATTAGCGGTGGAATCTAACCTAAAAATTTTTTGTTGACCGTGATTACATTCGGTTGTTGACACTCAAAAAGTATATCAATTCTAGTTCACGTATAAAATGATCTATAAAGATAATGTCTGCTATATAGGCAGTTTACTTGAGTACATAAGGGTGTGTACATATCGGCGGTGTTTACATTGTGCGGCCGCTATGTACACAGCCGATCTGATGTTACAGCATCCAAACAGCGGATTAGTGAGGCATGGCCGGTGTGCGGGCTCCGATAGGCCTACTGTAATTATGCAAATGATTTATGAATTAAAAGGATGGTTTCTATGATTCATTTACTTCCTGGGTTTTGTTGTAGGTGTTAGGTGTGGTGATTAAAATAGTATTGAGTTTTTATTGTAGATTTCACGGTATTTAAAAAAATATTAGTTAAGCCAATTCTCAATGAAAACTTAAATTACGATATGCTTTGTATCGATGTCTTGACTGGAGGGACGTAGGTTACTTTGGCAAAAATGTAAAGTATTTGATAGTTAACAACTGGTTATCGTAAAAACAGAAATACCTAAAAAAAAAACTAAACAAAATATTTATCCAACTAATTTAAAACGAACTCATTTTTCTTAATTTGAAATGAGTTCAAGTACTCCGATGCTCTAATTTACTGTTTTACTAAAACATTTAACTTACTGAAAATGACAATTACGATCTAGTTATCTTAATATAAGATGTAAGTAAATGTTACTAGGTTACATCTGTTTAGTATTTTTGCAAAGATATCTTTGCTAATTTTACATTTAGTTACACTCATGTGTTTCGACATTTTTGTTTCGTGCGTGTTCTCCGTTCTTTATTTCTAAGCGTTTTATGATGTGATTAAGATGCATTTAATTTATCTAGTTCACTTTCTACATTTTGGAGTAGTTTAATATATTTCATATGTTATTCTACAATTTAACAATTACTATTGAAATTAACCATAAATGTTTCCAATACTAAGTTTTATGTCAAACTAAACTTGTTTTAGCATAAAGTTTATGGTTACTGTCGGGTCAGACCGTAAGGGCTATATGATATAATGATGTATGATGATGTACGACTCATGTATGCTAGAGTAAATGAGATGCAAAAGTAGGTTACAGTTCAAGCTAGCTTTGCATGTTGACATGATGTCTAACGTCACCGCTTCTAAGCTGTAAT